GAATGGAATGGAATGGAATGGAATGGAGAATGGAATAGAATAGAAGGACCCTTGGAGGTCATCTAGTCCAGCCCCCCGCTCAAGGAGGAGAACCTATACCATCTCAGACAGATGGCTGTCCAATCTCTTCTTAAAAATTTCCAGTATTGGAGCATTCACCGCTTCTGGAGGCAAGTAGTTCCACTGGTTAATTGTTCTAACAGTCAGGAAATTTCTCCTTAGTTCTAGGTTGCTTCTCTCCTTGGTTAGTTTCCACTGATCAAATTTCTGCCGCAATGTTTATGGTATTTGCAAAAACAATACCGGTAGTCCTTGATGTACGACCACGATTAAGCCAAAAAAATTTCTGTTTGCTAAGCGAAACATTTGTTAAGTGAATTTTGCCCCGTTTTACCACCTTTCTTGCCACGGTTGTTAAGTGAATCCCTGCAGTTATTAAGTTAGTAACATGGCTGTTAAGTGAATCTGGCTTCCCCATTGACTTTGCCTGTCAGAAGGTCGCAAAAGGGCATCACGTGACCCCCGGAGACACTGCAACCGTCGTAAATACGAGTCGGTTGCCAAGCGTCTGAATTTTGATCCCGTGACCCTGGGGAGGCTGCAACGGTCATAAGTGTGAAAAACGGTCATAAGTTGCTTTTTTCCGTGCAGTTGTAACTTCGAACAGTCACTAAATGAACTGCTGTAAGTCGAGGACTACCTGGAAAGGCATTTGGGTAACAATTTCATCACATCAATGACCTGTTTGGACAAAAACAATATTGTGTGCAGCCATTGAGGGAGTAAATTTTATAGACATTAATTAAGGGGGCAGTTTGGTGCAGGGATTAAGGCAGCAGGCTAAAAAATGGGGACCATGAGTTCAAGTTCTGCCTTAGGAACAAAGCCAATTGGGTAGCCTTGGGCCAGCCACTCTCCCTCAGCCCTAGGAAGGAAGCAATGGCAAGCAATGCCAATAAAACTGCAGGGACTTGTTCAGGCAGTCACTGGGTGTCCCCATTGACTCAAAACAATCCAGAAAAAGAGGTTAATAGTGAATTATGGATACAGATAGTCCTCCTTTAGTGACTGCCTCATTTAGTGACCATTCAGTTGCCACAGTGATCTCTACACGGTGTTGAACTCACCTGGATTCTGTGATGTCTCTGGCATTGCCCTGGCACACGTCTTCCACCTGGATGTAAACCGAGCAATTCACTTTCGTCCAGTCTGGCTCACAGACCGCCAGGAAATTCGGCCTCAGACGCCCAATCATGTACTTGGCCAAGTCGGTCAGCGATTGGCTGACGGCGCTGCCAAACAGGAACGTCCCAATAACTTTGTAGAGGGCAGCCAGGTAATTGTTAAACTGGGAACGCGAGTGCAAGCGTTCGGTGTAGACCAGGTAGGCCTCGCCAATTGAAATCTAGCAGGTAGAGAGGGGAAAAAAAGAAAGAAAGGTGATGCTCTCCAGGGACATCCTTGAGGCCCTCCCTTCTCAATTTCCACCCCAAAGACAAAGAGAGAAGCAACCTAGAACTAAGGAGAAACTTCCTAACAGGGAGAACAATTAACCAGTGGAACAACCTGCCTCCAGAAGCGGTGAATGCTCCAACGCTGGAGGATTTTAAGAAGAGACTGGACAGCCATTTGTCTGAAATGGTATAGGGCAGGGGTAGGCAACCTTGGCTCTTTTATGACTCGTGGACTTCAACTCCCAGAATTCCTGAGCCAGCATGGCTCAGCTTGGAAACTTCTCCGTCCCCTCAGCACGGCTGGCTCAGGAATTTTGGGAGTTGAAGTCCACGAGTCATAAAAGAGCCAAGGTTGCCTACCCCTGGTATAGGGTTTCCTGGACTAGATGACCTCCAAGGTCCCTTCCAACATTATTATTATTATTATTATTATTATTATTATTATTATTATTATTATTATTATTATTATTATTATTATTGTTGTTGTTGTTGTTGTTGTTGTTGTTGTTGTTGTTGTTGTTATTGATCATCACACAGTCAGCCAGATGTTCAGACTGGATTTGGCATTTTTGTCTACCTATCGAGTCCTTCCCAAGGACCTTTGATAGGCAGATGTGGATGTTTGATGTTATTATAGATATCGTTGCAGGATGGAAGCAGTTCCTAGTAAGGCCGCCTTTTGCAATTGACTAATAGCGAATTTGTCAATGCCAATGGTGTTCAAGTGGCGCTCCAGTTGTTTTGGGATTGCACCCAAGGCGCCTATGACTATTGGTACTACCTTTGTTTGCTTTTGCCACAGTCTTTCTATTTCTATTTGTAGGTCTTTGTACTTTGTTATCTTCTCCAGTTCTTTCTCGTCTATTCTGCTCTATCCAGGCACTGCCATGTCCACTATTCAGACTTTTTTGTCTTTCTTATCGACAATTGTTAAATCCGAGGTGTTATGTTGCAGGTGCTTGTCTGTTTAAATTCTGAAGTCCCAGAGCATTTATCATTTTCTATGACTTTCTCTATTTTATGATCCCACCAGTTCTTGCTTACAGGCAAATGATATTTCTTGCAGATCTTCCAATGCACCATTGTTGCTACTTTGTCATGC